CCTTCCACGATTTCAACCATCGCCAGCTACCTCAAAACTTACGGTTTCCGCTAAGGCTTGAGAAGACCTCAACCACCCATTGAAAGACCATCTAGACGCATCATGATATGTTACAATATTTTCAGGCTTATACCTTTCTCTAGCCTTTTAATTTTTATCCAATGATCTGTACCATGAGCGATTTTAGGGCTTCAATATTTTATATGTGTAATTATGTTTAGTTTGTGCTTCCTAATTATTCATAGCTCTGCATTGGCTCTGGACCCTTGAATGTATTAATTCATGTTCTAATCATGTTCAATAATCCAAAAATGTCAATATAAATAGGTCAAATGCCTTTCTCGTTAAAGGTAGTTTTCTTTCAAGTCAGAAAAATAAAAGCAATGTATCCAAAATCTAGTCCCTTCAACAGGCTGTTAGTTAACTGTGTACGTCTGCCCAAGAGGACCTGAGATATTACTTTCCAAGTGAGAAACCAGGAATGACCACCTCTATTTTTTCACTAAAAACTTATCTGGTTGCTCAAACTGGTATGGCATTTAGACACCTTGAGGTTATTTGAGATTGCAAAGTGAATATAGCCAAACTAAAATTAAAGCTGACTTTGAGATATGTTCCAGTTTTGCTATTGTGGTTTAAAAAGTACAATTCACAATGGATTCTCCACAGTCTACACTTGTAAATAACACTGGTTTGCATCTTAGGAGGTGCAAAACAGGCAGACTTAGAACCTTAGTGTAACGTATACATTTGGTTATAGAGAGTGTTCACCCAGTTCTTTTCCACAGCAGGACTAAACTCTTGAAATCTTTGGAGTTAGAACTCAGTCAAAAGCAACTTGACCCTAACTACCTAAATATGTTGCTAAGAACCTAGCGTTTTACAGATTGGCATTCTCTTGCATTTAAACATCTACAGAACACCACTCCCATCAAGGACTTGATAGGAATCATTCTTGGGAGTTGGCACGACAGAGGCCACCGTCCCATTATTATTTATGATTATTTGTCAGTAGTTTGAGGTGTGTGCTTTTTATATCAAAGATGTTACCAAAATGTCAAAAGGATAATATATATTATTGTTCCTTAAAACACAGTCTTGTGTTACTAATCAGAATGTATGTTAACACTGATTTGTGTGCACTCTCTGGGTGGGATAAAATCAAAGGTTCTGCAAAAACCAAACCTCTTAAAGGGACACTTGTCACTTTAACCATATTAGCTCATTGAATTGGTTATTGCCTGGAATCATCTGGCATTGTCCTTTCATTCAGTGATAAACTATATTTGGTCAGTTTAACCCTAAATAAGGATACCTGGTAACCCACTTATTGAGGTGTGTCTAAGGAAGAGATTATATTACAAAGCACTTCCTTGTTGTTCATATAATAGCTGTGATAGGCTAAGAGCAACCAGCTGACACACTCTCACCCAAGCACAGCTGCCCAGGCTATTACTTACTCATTAGCCAAAGCAGCACAGAGGAGTAAGCTGCTGAAGACTATTAAAAAAACAAAACAAAAAAAGCACACCTCTACAATGCTGAATGAAAGGCTGGCACCAGGGGACTCCAGACACCAGTTTAGTTAGAATTCAGTAATGCAGATACAGAGTCCCTTTAAGTTAAATAACAAAAGCAACCATGTTTTATAAACTTACGCACAATGACTTTATGTGAACTATATCTTGTATATTTTATGTCCAAAATGTTTTTGTTAACAAAGACACTGAATCGCCACAGTCTATTGGCGGAATGTTTGTAATCCCATTGTTTCCTGTAAGTTCTGTGTGTAGTGACGGCTAGACTCCACTGCATGCTGAGAACCACATTTTAATCTATACGTTGTACAGGAAAGTGTTTAACAAATGTGTAGATTAGAAGATAGGCTTGCCTGAAGCTTGTTTAGGCATCCAGCCACCTCTAAATCCACGATGGGGCATCCCACAATGCCTAGTACACGGCTGTGTGCGAAGCATAGTGTAACGTCACTTTTCGGATTACCGGAGATAATGGTTGATGCCATCTTTTCATTGATCATTGAACTTGTTAATTGATGCATTTGCTAGCATTTCTGTGACAATGTATTGAAACTTTATTTTAATCTATAAAATGACACTGTGTGTACAGCTAACGAATGCTCAGGGAATATCAGCATCCATTTTATGAGCACAGTTGTTTGCATAGTATTATTTTGTATTGCCAGATCTCATGACTCGCAGTGAGCTACTATGTTTTAATAGCAAAAGGAGATAATTGATGTACTATGAAATCTGTTCAAACCTTTCAATTGCTGCTTAAATGAATAAATAGGAATCCACATACTGTATGTATAGCTGCCTTACCTAGTGTTTGTCATTTAACTGATTTGTTTCCAGAATACATCTAGTTCTCTTCTCACATTAAGCCTTTAAGTACGCTGTACGGATGTCAAGCAATGTCAAGAAGAAGACTGTTTGGGTTGTTTTTTTGTTTTTGTTTTTTCTTCTTCAGGAAAAAAAAAAACTAAACAACAAACTGTGCTCTTTAAACTTGTCAAAAGTGGTGATTAAGTATTTTTTTTCTTTAATTCTTGTTAGTGCAATACAGTCTACTTGGAGACTTTGTGATGTGGGTCTAATAAATAGAATTTTGAATTTAGGACAATACTAATGTTTACTGGTTTTATTTAAGTGAGCATTCTTTTATGTATAGGCGTACATATTCTATGTAGATACCCTCCCTCCTCTACTGCCATACTTCAAAAGGACCATGGCACAAACACAACTTTAATGCATTTTGATAGATTTTTTGATTTTGATATGCTGCCTTTTTTGCATGCTCAAAACATTTTTTACTACAAAATTTTCTTAAAATGTTTTGCATAATGCTGCACTTTAAGCTTGTGTTCTTGGCCATGCCCCCTCATAACAGACTTCCTTATGAAAGATATGCACATAGTCTCGGCCCCACCAGCCCTGAGAGAGCGGCTTTTAATTCAGATAGCTAGAGCGGGGTTAGAAGAGGAGAGTTTGCAAAGGCAGCAGGCAAAAGATCTGCAGGATTTGCAAGCTGTTTTTAGATACAAGTCCAATAAAAAAAATTGTATAATTAAATGCATGCATGTTTTTATTTGGGACATATCTACTAAACAGTGACTTTGTTATCAGGGCAGTGGAGTGTCCCTTTAAATGCATTAAAGTTGAATTGGTGCCCAGAGTGCCCAATTATGGATTGGTATCACAATTAGGTCTAGTCTTCTTTCTCTCCAGTAAAGCTGTAGGTGTTTGGACACATGGCATGAGTGTAGTATATTCATTGGTCTCGTACTAGAGTCTACAAATCCTTTTGACTTTAACAGTTACCTGTTGGGCATGCATGCATTAGATAAGTGGATTAACCACCCTTACACACCTCCATTCTAGGTTGCAGTGTTTACCCTGTTTGTTAAAGCTAGTATTTAGATATTTTGAATAAAGCACCATAAATGGAATTGAATTTGCATACATCTCTCTAACTCTTCAATACATTTTTTCCATATATTTACATTTAAAAAAAAAAAAAATGAAACTCTATTTAAATTCTATAAAAGTCTTGTGTAATGAAATAAGGTGTAGTACTTTGGGGACCATTTTAAATACTAATGGCCTTTATTTTTTTTTCACCTTGCCTTAAAATATTGCATACTTTCCATATGAAATAAAGTAGAAAATGTTAAATGTTAATAAGGCGTGAAAACCGTAAAATCCATATTTCTTTTCTTTATTTGCTAAGAACAACAAAAAAATGGCTTCAGAACTGCTAGTCCACGAGACATTAATCTTGAATGATTAGTCACATATAAAATCATTGAATGATTAGTCACATATAAAATCATTTTTGGCTGCATTAAAGCTTAGCTTTGTAACAAGCTCAGGATATTCCTCTGCTGAAATCCTTGAATGCAATGTTTGAACTATGCATAAAGGCAATATATATTACCCTAAGAAGGAAACTTCATATCTGTAAGGTATTTTTTATAATGTTTTATGGGTCTCCTTGGTGTAATTCTTGGAGAGCAGTCTATTTTTAAATGATTTAATGTAACTTGACTTGTAGCCATCTGTGCCCAAATTTCTTTTTCATAGAATCTTGCTCCAATACTGCATTGTAATATTAAAATTCCTTTTACGTGGTTCTATGTACATCTTACACAATAAGACTGTTTAAAGGCTTCCCTTCTATTTTTCCATCCGATCACATATAAGGTAACATTGGTTTATGTTCATTTTTGACAACAGTTTGAATCATTCCAAGTAAAGATGTTCCACTATGTAGCACCCCCAATATATTTGGGTCTGTGATGAACAAAACGCTAAAGGTTGGCACTACGGATCCTGCAGACTATATTTCTCATGAGGTTCAGTCGGCCAAAAAGCTGGCCGAGCTTCACAGGAAATCCGATCCACATGCACGAGTCCTGCCGAGTGAAATGATCACCGATGCTGCTATAGATCATTCACTCACAATGTTGGTAACCATGTGAAACACCACATCTAAAGACACTGGCTTAGTCCAATTTATAGAAAGAAACCACATCTGCACGTAATCATATCTTCCTTCTTCTGGATATAGTAAGACTTTGCCAAATATATTTTATTTGTTCCTTTAGTGTTTTAAACACTGTGCTGGGCCACTGAGCTCATGAAAATGACTGGTATATGCACAATTTAGATACTTCCTGATAAGATGGTAGCACATTTTGTGTGACGTGATAAAGTTGATAACCATTTAGATGTACATTCTAACCCTACATGAAACCCTAATTCCACAATTTTTATTTTATTTTTTTGTGGTAAATTTCTGTTTATTAGCAATGTATTTCACATACATTAAAAAATATCATTGAAAACAAGCTGGTACACTCAGGTACCATAGACTTTAAATGGATACACAGGTCGAGATATGCAGATCTGTAGGTCCGAACAGACACGCAGGTCTGAAGTAGAGCATCTTCTAGCCATTTCAATTAAACGGAGTGTGATGTCATCTTGAAATCAAACCTCATACACCAATTAGAGCCAAATTGTATTATTGCAAAAAGGTTCTTGAAAATTCGAAGTGGGGGAAACATTTTTTCAGAGCGTGATAATATATCACATGGTCAAAAAGAATAAGAAAAATAAGAGAGGAAAGAGCCAGTCCTTGAACGTACAAGCCGCTCCTCCGACCCTGGGCCACTACAGACCCACGGATGGACGAGTGAAGGAAGGAGGTAGGAGAGGGGAAAACAAAGTGTGGAGATCTAAACCTTATAAGACAAGGTGAAAGAATAAAAAGGGTGTTCGGCGTAGGGTGACTGTATCAAGTTGGAACACATGCAACTGATTCCAAGGTTCAAGGCTGAAGATCAGTGTATTTTTTTTTTTGAAGGTGTGTGTTTTGTTTTTTTTCTCATCTGCTTCCCCTTTTTGGCTTTCCATAAGTTCCCCAAGTTATTGTAAGAGGGTCTGGAAATTGTCTGTTGACAAGATCGACTGAGTCCAGATGATCGTATATGTCTGGGATTTACCTTCGGTGTGCAGAGTTCTTCTCACACTGCACAGAATTCTCTGGAACAAGTTAGTGGAGGAGGTATCTCTTGCCTTCCAAATAGAGGTACCAGGCTCCTAGCCACATTGAGTATCCTGAAAGGGATTTTTTTTTTTTTTTTTTATTATATTATAAACAGAGTGGAGTTTAGTGTAGTGTAGGATGAGTGATGCTGGTTTCAGAGTAGAGTATGTCATCAGTACATATATGTATGATCTTGGATAGCAGACCGGTAAGGTCAGATTAGAGGCCAATCCCACCAGATATTAAGGGATGAGCCTACCACATGTTTGCCTCTCCAGCACCTGTCACCTATGGAGGAATCAAGAGCATGTAGTAGCTGGTGAGTCTTGTACCAGAAGGTCAGTAATTTACAGGCCATTTTTTTTTGTGACATGTTGGAAACTGAGCACTGAAGTGTTAAATTGCAAATTTTCAACCGTTCTTTAGGTACAAATGTTTCACATAGGGCCTCTTCCCATTTCCCATGAAGCTTGGAGTTGGTGACCTATTCATTGTAGGAGGAGCACTGAAGTGTTAAATTGCAAATTTTCAACCGTTCTTTAGGTGCAAATGTTTCACATAGGGCCTCTTCCCATTTCCCATGAAGCTTGGAGTTGGTGACCTATTCATAGTAGGAGGAGCGTGCTATATAGGATCAAGAGTCCTCTTTAGATCGATTCATAATTTACACAAATCTTTTCAAACTTTGTGAGATATCTCAGAACTAAATCTTTTTGGTGGATGCAAATTCAGTATCGAAAGCAATGCATGACGTTTGCTGGGTTAGTAATCTGCAGAGTCTCTCAGGGTCGGACTGTCCCCCCATCCATCATATGTCTAAGATGGAAGAGTATATCACCCGGTTGCCTACAAACTCTGAGAAAATTCCAGCTAGTCAACCACATCATACAGCGGCGAGGGAAAGGTGGCAAGGCCAAGCTTAGGTGCCATACATGTGTCGTAGCATTGCAGAGCCACAAGTCAAGTGATCTGTAGTAGGTCCAGCCACAGGAGAATGCTCACTGGTCTACCAACCAATTCTATCCTAATTGTTTTCCATAGCTTGGAGGCCCCCTGTTTGGACCATTCCACGATTTTGTAGGATATGGGAAGCCTGAAAATATTGTTTCAAATCTGTTAAGGCCAGACCTCCCCCATTTTTCAGCAGCATGAGTGTTTCATGTCTTATCCGGATTCTAAATTTACTCCATATGAACCTCCAAGTCAGAGAATAAATAAAAGTGAAAAATGCCTCAGGTATAGCTATGGGCAATGTCTGGAACAGATAGAGAACTCGAGGTACGAGATTCATCTTCATAACCCCCACCATGCCAAGAGAGTCATAGCCTAGACCAGGATTCCAGGTTCTTGCACACTGTTGTCAATACTGGATGGAAGTACGCTTGATAGAGGCATGTGAGATCTCTAGTGACCCAAACCCCTAGTTACCTCAGGGAGGACTTCTTCCATTGGAAGGAGAACCTCTAATCTCCTCTGACCATGACCTTGCAATGGAGATATTCAGTATTCTTTACTTTTTGTAATTTATTTTGATGTTTGGCAATGAGCCATACGTTGGAAATTCCATCATGATGGGCAGTAGGGATAACTGGATTTGTCACAAAAAACAGCAGGCCGTCCATGTATGTCACAACAAAGTGCGAGGTCTGCCTTACCTGCAGCCCTTGGATAGCATGGTTGTGCCTGATCAGGAAGGACAAGCCCAAAGAGCAGGGTAATATTACAATTTTCTCCTAAACCTGACTAAGGATATTTAGTCCAGCTAATTAAATTCAATCAAAAGCATATAAGAGAACTCCTCATTAAAATAGCAACCCCCCAAATGGTTTTAATAATTAACAACCTCTTTAAAGAGAATGGTAGCATAATCTATTGATGGTATTTTATGTTTTCAGGAAACAAAAATGTTTTTTAAAGGGCTCCTCCAAGCACCATGACAACATCCACGATCTGAAGTGGTCATAGTGACTGGAGTGAAATGCTGCAAATACCGAGTTTTACCCATTTGTTGCCAGAGGTGTCCACCTCTAGCAGTGTCATGGGGCATCATCAATGAGTTATGTGCAATGAGGGTCAGATTTGCAGAAACAAGGGACGGTAAGTGGGAAAAGTGCAGTTGAACAGTGCAGGCTAGCCACTCAAATTAGGGGATAACTCCCAAATCCCGAAATCACAAGATCCAAAAATAGTATAGTTACAAACATATACCAGTGAGGGAGCCACTTTCGCAAATATAATTACCATTCAGATCGCTGAATTTGGCATGTAATAGGAACATAAGAGAAAATATACATGGTGAAGTATTTAATGACAAAAGTGATGCACTTTTTACCGTTGACGCACTTTGTTCCGTAATATTTTCAAGTTCTAAATGGAAAAGTGTCTCGCGGCGCACATTATCAATAAAGTGCACGCGTGTACAGTGGGAACGTGATGACGTTCGTTGTCATTTTTTCCCTTGTTCTGCGCATTCACGTTTTAATGAAACCCGCGCAATCCACTATTTAAACTGTCGAGATGGAGGAATATACACAGCTCTTGATAGTCGCCAGCCGAAACGTGTCGAGCAGAGAGAAGCTTGGTGTATCCCCTAGGATTAAAGCCAATACGTGTCAGACCTACAGGACAATATTCAGCTTCTTTCACATTCGTTTGAATGACTGGTGAATAGAGTGAGTGACTGACATCCTGAGGTACCAAGGCTGATAGCTGTATGGGGACTTAGCCCTTTGTTGGCTGATAAACTCTTTAGCACAATTAGATATATTTCACGTTGTGCCACTTATTTTGTAAGTATATCTATTGTTTTTATTTACTTTTTCCTTTTGTCATTAAATATGTATATTTTCTCTTATGTTTCTATTACATGCCAAATTCAACGATCTGAATTGTAATTACATTTGCACATTTGTGAAAGTGGCGCCCTCACTGGTATATGTTTGCAACTATACTATTTTTGGATCAGGTTTGCAGAAGCTGGATGTCTACAGAGTAGACCCAATGAAGAGCAAGTCCAGGTAAGAGGGCAAACTGCTGTAAAATGAGTGGACTGTAGTGGTTATGAGTTAGGTAGGACTTTAAGTTTGTTTTGTATGTTCTGTTCGTCCATTTGGAGCTAAAACATATATGCAATCTGGGTGGCTACCCAAATACCCCTTAAAGACCCACAATATAATCCCACAATTAGAGGAGCCTATATCATTAATGCATATTGCAGATGTACAACCACTATAATGTTTCACTAAAACGTGACATACAAAATGTAACGGATCGCCTGGCACCCCGACTGGGTACCTCCGTTGAAGGATGCTCCTATCGCTTCCTGAGGACTCCAAGCACTCTGGCAGACACCACAATCACTGAACCGGAGAAACAAATAAATTCTCCCGAGCATATGAATGCTGTAGACAGTTGAATAGGAACCATACGAATAGGTTTACTCTCCTAGCAGTCAAACTGGAACAGCATACAATAAATCCTTCCTCCAATAATGAGACGACACTTCACTTTGAGGGTTAAAACAGGAACTGACTGTACTGGCACATGCAGCCTCTTTTATTCCCAATCCACAAATTTAGTACTGCCCACAGGGTTTTACAGAACAACCAATCAATCTGTACAATACACACAGACACTCCCACACAAAATCCTCCCCTCTGCCTGTAATACAATTACCTTACACAATGGGTAATCTAATTATCACAGACAGAGAAATACAGTTTCATAAAACACATCACAGGGACCCCAAAACATGCAGTAATCCCATAAAGTCCCAAGTATATCCTTGGAACCGGGGGATCTGGGTGAACCACATATCCAAAATTCACCCAGATCCGTTCAGTACTTTGGAAGATACAGTTTAATACAGATTCTGCAGAACATATACAGGCTAAATGAAAGACAATCACTGTATAATGTGTCCCCTGCAGTATAGTCCAAAACCACTGCACGATGTCTCTGTGCACCAAATACTGGCGAGATGGCACCGTGTTGAAAAGTCCAAACAGTGTCTGTGAGTTAAAATGGCCGCCATCCATTGTTCTCACCATGTGCCTCTGATACAGGAAATGGTGGCCACCCAGTAACTCCACAGTATGTCCCCAGATAGTTCTTAAAGGGGCCAGCAGCAGCACAACCCTTATGCCCAAATCATGTCTTTAAAGGGCAATACATCCCAGGGGCCATAGTCACATGGCAGGAGGCCGGCAATCAGTCTTCTCCAATGCACAGTGGTGAGGCTGGTTCCGCCACATTTCTCCCCTTTCCCAAAAAGACTAATAAGGTATCTGACCTCCTTTCGGTCAGTGCCTTGGTTAGTCCAGCAACCCACCCAAAAAACAAAGTCAGTAGTGCAGCCCACACACAATGAACAGTTACTGTACCTGGGGTAGTGGGTAGCTTGTCCATGTCCAGGGGCTCCACCACAGGTCTGGGGAGTACTAGCCTTCCGGATCGGTGGGTTGCTGCGTGGGTACTCTGCCCTGGTGCCAGCGCTACCACGGGAGTAGCCTGGTTGGGGCTCAGCTGAGGAGAAGGGTTAGTAGGCTCCTCCCTCTGGACCTGGTGTTGCTGCTGGAGGGGAAGACAGGCTGTCTCCCCTTTGGATAAACAGCCCTGCTGCAGGGGGACAGGACCGACCGTCCCTACCCCCTGTGGTTTGGGCACAGAGACCACGGTCCCATCTGCACCGTTGTGGGGCTTACTGTCTCCCCTTGGTGGGCTAGGCTGCTGCTGGGGAGAGGGGGTAACAAGCTCCTCTCCCATACACTCTCTCTGCTGTTGGAGAGGGAGACCGATTGTCTCCCCTTTCAATATATTGTCCCGCTGCTGGGAAGCGAGACCAACTGTCTCTGCTCCCTGCAGGACACACTGCCGCTGGGGAGGAAGGACGGCACCTTCGGCTCCCTGTGACTCACTGGACTGCTGGGGAGAGGGACCAACTGTCTCCTCTCCTAAGGACACACTCTGCCGCTGGGGAGGAAGGACAATACCTTCGGCTCCCTGGAACTCACACTGCCGCTGGGGAGGAAGGACAGCACCTTCAGCTCCCTGGAACTTACACTGCCGCTGGGGAGGAAGGACGACACCTTCGGCTCCCTGGGACTCACACTGCCGCTGGGGAGGAAGGACAGCACCTTCAGCTCCCTGTGATACATACTGCCGCTGGAGATCTGGGCCGACCGCCCAGCATCCCTGTAGGGCCGGTAGAGAGACCGCCGTCCCATCTCCACCTGCCATCTGTGGGTCTTCCCAGGACCAGTCTGTGAGGTCCCTCAACATTTGCGAGTAAGGACCACCTGCTTCCGCACCTGGCAACTCCGGCTGCTGCTGGGGATCTGGGCCGGCTGCCCAGCATCCCGGTGGGCCCGGTGGAGAGACCTCGGTCCCATCTCCCCCTGCCTGTTGTGGTTCCTCACAGGACCAGTCTATGAGGACCCCTACTTCGGGTTCCTGCGGCCGCCTCAGTGGGAGACGGCTAGCCTCCTCGGATGCAGCCTCTACTCGGCTGCTGTAACACTCCTTCCGCTGAGCATACTCTCTCTCTTTCGCCAGTCGGAATTCTCGGGCCAGCCTTGTGTTTTGCTCGGCCGTGACCTGGTTCCAGATCACCTGGCGTACCTCCATGGGTAAATCATCTCCATACTGGGCCACTCGCTGCCTCACCTCGGCCATCCAATCATCGCCAGAGCCTTCCATACTTGTCTGCTCCAAGTCGCTAGATACCTCTGCTCCCAGGGGCGCTGCATGTGTGCTAGCGTTACCCTCAATTTGTAACTCCACGAACGGTGTCTCTGAGCTGCTTTACCTCGCACTAGGACGCCATCCCACCGCTTGCCACCAATGTAACGGATCGCCTGGCACCCCGACTGGGTACCTCTGTTGAAGGATGCTCCTAGCGCTTCCTGAGGACTCCAAGCACTCTGGCAGACACCACAATCACTGAACCGGAGAAACAAATTAATTCTCCCGAGCATATGAATGCTGTAGACAGTTGAATAGGAACCATACGAATAGGTTTACTCTCCTAGCAGTCAAACTGGAACAACATACAATAAATCCTTCCCCCAATAATGAGACGACACTTCACTTTGAGGGTTAAAACAGGAACTGACTGTACTGGCTAATGCAGCCTCTTTTATTCCCAATCCACAAATTTAGTACTGCCCACAGGGTTTTACAGAACAACCAATCAATTTGTACAATACCCACAGACACTCCCACACAAAATCCTCCCCTCTGCCTGTAATACAATTACCTTACACAATGGGTAATCTAATTATCACAGACAGAGAAATACAGTTTCATAAAACACATCACAGGGACCCCAAAACATGCAATAATCCCATAAAGTCCCAAGTATATCCTTGGAACCGGGGGATCTGGGTGAACCACATATCCGAAATTCACCCAGATCCGTTCAGTACTTTGGAAGATACAGTTTAATGCAGATTCTGCATATACAGGCTAAATGAAAGACAATCACTGTATAATGTGTCCCCTGCTGTATAGTCCAAAACCACTGCACGATGTCTCTGTGCACCAAATACTGGCGAGATGGCACCGTGTTGAAAAGTCCAAACAGTGTCTGTGAGTTAAAATGGCCGCCATCCATTGTTCTCACCATGTGCTTCATCCATTGTTCTCACCATGTGCCTCTGATACAGGAAATGGTGGCCACCCAGGAACTCCACAGTATGTCCCCAGATGGTTCTTAAAGGGGCCAGCAGCAGCACAACCCTTATGCCCAAATCATGTCTTTAAAGGGAAATACATCCCATAGTCACATGGCAGGAGGCCGGCAATCAGTCTTCTCCAATGCCCAGTGGCGAGGCTGGTTCTGCCACACAAAAAAATTAAGTTTAGCCATGTAGCTTGAATATTTTGCCAGTGCATTGCTTGATTTGCACTTACTAGAACATTTCAATTATACATCTATTTGTAGACAGAGAAGACAAGTAGATCGATTTATTTTTTATTTTTTTTATTTGTGAATGAGAGTATTTTTAATGAGATTGGCATGGCATCATAAACACAAAAATCTGCCCGCCCAAAGCAACATTAAAAAAAGAGAGACACAGACTTTGATATATAAGACAGTGCTGTATATGTTTAAAGTTGTTCAGGTGACACTATAGTCACCTGAACAACTTTATCTTAATGAAGCAGTTTTGGTGTATAGAACATGCCCCTGCAGTCTCACTGCTCAATCCTCTGCCATTTAGGAGGTAAATCCCTTTGTTTATGAACCCTAGTCACACCTCCCTGCATGTGACTTGCACAGCCTTCCATAAACACTTCCTGTAAAGAGAGCCCTATTTAGGTTTTCTTTATTGCAAGTTCTGTTTAATTAAGATTTTCTTATCCCCTGCTATGTTAATAGCTTGCTAGACCCTGCAAGAGCCTCCTGTAAGTGATTAAAGTTCAATTTAGAGATTGAGATACAATTATTTAAGGTAAATTACATCTGATTGAAAGTGAAACCAGTTTTTTCTTCATCCAGGCTCTGTCAATCATAGCCAGGGGAGGTGTGGCTAGGGCTGCATAAACAGAAACAAAGTGATTGAACTCCTAAATGACAGTGAATTGAGCAGTGAAATTGCAGGGGAATGATCTATACACTAAAACTGCTTTATTTAGCTAAAGTAATTTAGACTATAGTGTTCCAAATAAGCCATCATAGAAATGTATTTTGTCTTTCTGCTAAATTGAAAATGTGAATTCCTTCTTTACTCCTGCTCTTCGAGCAAGTCTTACACTGGCAATCAGGGCACACAGGCTGACCTGAGTACACGTGGTTCATCCACAAATTTTTGGATTGTTGGGACCAGTATATGTCCCCCATTTAATCATTCTTTTCTGACATCAGTCTTATCCAAAGAAAATGTAATCAAGGATGGTAAGATCAACTACCCTATTTTTGTACTTCTATTTTTTTTTTTTATTATATATTCTTTTGACCATAACAAATACATAGAATATTATTACATTTTCTATATATTAAATATAACTAAATAAGATTTTGATATTGGTTAATGTGGGATTCTGAGTGGCTACATCTGAAATTGTAGATCCATTCAGATTTAGATGTTAAGATTGCATATGTAAAACAAAATATCAAAAAATGTGTGCAAAAGTTATAGAACTTCGCTGTTTATTTTATTGTTATAAAAAAAACATGTAAATTGTGCAGAAGTCATGTAATGAGTAGATGAGGGAAACTGAATAACACTAATATACTGGAAATAAACCAGAGTTGGCTTGTGACTGGTCAGCCAAATATAGCAAGAATTCAAATTGTGGTTAATGACCACAGAACTGCACAGATGCAAATATATAGATGATGCCCCCGTCTAATATGAAATAAATAAATTGTGATACTTTAATGGTAAAATTATGCCAACAACAATATGGATACTCATATTAACTTAAAGGACCACTATAGTGCCAGGAAAACATACTCGTCCTATGGACGCTGGCGTCTTCTCACTGTGAAAATCACAGTGAGAAGCACGCAAGCGCCTCTAGCGGCTGTCAGTGAGACAGCCACTAGAGGCTGGATTAACCCATAGGTAAACAGCAGTTTCTCTGAAACTGCTATGTTTATAGAAAAAGGGTTAACCCTAGCTGGACCTGGCACTCAGACCACTTCATTAAGCTGAAGTGGTCTGGGTGCCTATAGTGGTCCTTTAACCAAATGTGCTCTAATATTAAAGACAAAGTTAATTTAAAACTTTAATTTCTTTTAAAATTATTTCTATTACGCTCCAGGGCGCAACTTCAACCGACGGAAACCACGAGGCCGAGCCAAGATGGCTGACGGCACTGCGGCCCACATGGAGCAGCAGACAGCTAGCAACTGGGTAGCAGCCTTCCAGGCGAAATTTGATGCCGTATGCAGGCAATTCTGGGAGCGGCTAGAGAAGAAGAGTCAGCCTCCTGCTCCAACACTGGTCAAAACAGTATCTTGGATCCCTGCAGCCTCTCATACCCAGCTGTGTCACCCAGATGCACCTTCAACACCGCAGAAGCAGGTGAAAGTCGGGATTGCGGAACAACGGAAATCTAACTCACCACCGGGTCCCTCACAAGCATTCCTCATACAAGACAACACAAGCAGGCAACACCGAGGGGATCCCTATGCGGCACCGCAGAGACCCCTGCAGCAGCTATACGGGTACGTCCAAGCCTACCTCAGTGATATGCTGTAACTCAGCGGAGACATCCACAAGAGGAATTTGCAAGACTCAGACGGCGCGTCGAGAGGCTGAAGAAATCTACAAACCTTTGTACAAATGGACCCGATTCGGCAGGGTTGAAGGGGCGAGGTATGCAACCACCTGTCCTGCTCCCATAACCCTGCAGTCTGTTACACTGGCCTCGACATAGGACACTACACCTGACACCCATTACACCAACTCCGGACTGTGACCTAACCCTAAGGGGCATAGGCTGAGGAGAACAGCAGACTTTGGAAGGTGGACTTTTCAAAGGCACATGACACTCCTGTAAAATGCCTCATCTGTCTAAAATAAAAACCACCAAGTTTCATTGGTTAAAGAGACACTATAGTCACCAGAACAACTACAGCTTAATGTAGTTGTTCTGGTGAGTATAATCATTGCCATCAGGCATTTTCATGTACACACTGCCTTTTCAGAGAAAAGGCAGAGGTTTACATTGTCCCTAGGGACACCTCCAAGTGGTCACTCTTTAGATGGCCACTGGAGGGGCTTCCTAGCTCAGTAAGCAGCCCTGCCATTCAGCGTCCCCACGTTCTGCATGGAGACGCAGAATTTTCCTCATAGAAATGAATTGATTCAATGCATCGCTATGAGGAGGTCCTGATTGGCCAAAATGGCATTTGGCCCCGCACCATGCTGATTTTAACCAATCCAATGCTTTCCCTATGGGAGCTAAGGGGGGGGGGGGGCCACATAAATGGTGGGTTTAGCACTACATGTTTGTGTTCCTGACCCTATAGTGATCCTTTAAAGTTGACTCACTGAATTTCTTGCCTAGCTTACTTGAGAGAGGCCTGCCATATAACTAATAATTAGATGTACCAGAGTTGCCTGCTACTCATGTTTAGCTAAGTGCCCTAGCCTGATCTTTAATACTAAGTGCAGTATATAGCGAAGTCCCTGCTTACTATTCCGCCCACTCTGCTTAGGCTATGCTCAGACTTTACTCTAACTTGTGTTTAAGCCTGTTCAGAGAATATAAAATGTGTAATTACTCATGCCACTGCTCAGCGTGTACGTTTATAGCCTGTTACCTAGCTGGTAATATACACTAAAACAAAAAAGAGATGTCTCTCTTGTTTGGAGTAATGAATGACAAATGCGGTATGTTGACACTAATGCCAAGCTGAATTGCTTTGATTAATCATTTTTTTCTTCTGTAAAACGCTATAATCTCAATAAAAGAAAGATTGACCAAAAAAAATTATATTTCTATTAACCAATTTTTACTAAAAAGAAAAAAAAAAGTTTATTCTCCAGCAAAACCACAAAAATAATCCCCCCACCCACACATGAACAAGCATTGTAATAAAATACAAGGGATCAGACAACCACGACCCTAACCTTTTAAGTGCAATCATGTTTTTCTTATATGTGCTTCGTATTTAAAGTGCAATAAGATGCTTAAAAAAACATTTGTTCTCACACCAATCCTGAAGTACTTGAACTGTTATGTTTGGAAATACCAATCCACGGAGCCTTATATGTAAGCCGGCTCGAAACCAGGTTAGTGAGACCATTATTCTGCTCCAGCTGTTGCAATACAATTCAGAGATGTCATTTTGTCGCTGGTCATATGTGAAAAGTTGAACAGCTTGTGGGTCTTAGAGGAATGACATTCTAGTGCAGGGTTAGGCAACCTTCAGCACTCAGATGTTGTGGACTACATCTCCCACAATGCTCTTAGCCATTCTTTAGGCAAAGCATCACAGGAGATGTAGTTCAGAACATCTGGAATGCTGAAGGTTGTCTACCCCCACTCTTGTGTATATATCTATAGATATAAAGATTAATATGGAACAATGGTTTCTGGAGAGTTTTATGTAGCATGTGGATATTTAGATTCTGAAATGCTTCATTCCACTAACATACAGCAGCAAAGATAAATACTTGGATTTCAAAGGCTTCCTACTAAGAAAACCCAGAAGGTTCACACAATAGAGATATAAGAAAAATACAGAAAAACTCAGGCAGGTTGAATACTGTTTTAACGAAGAGTTGCGAAGGAAAGCAGGACTGTCACTTTCGAAAGTCACAGGAAAATGATGCCACTTATACATTCAGCTGCAGATAAATACTGTGTTTAAAAAGCTATGCATTCGGCAATCAGGTTGATAGATCAACAGCCTCTTCTTCGCCATCTCCTCTGTTAGCTCGGATCTCAATCAAAGTGCGTGCCAAGCGGCTCCATTCATCATTGTGTGGAACAGCGAACTAAAGCAAAAAAAAGAGAACAACTTGTGTACAATGGAAAGAAATGCTTGATATAACAAACCACAACATCCCTCTCCGCATACATAAACATTCTGACATAGAACACTCTACAATCACTGGACCACAGACATGGCTACAATTATATCTCCAATTGGCTGCAAACAATTCTGTCCACTAAAACTGTTTATTTTGGCCCATTTATGTTTGATCCCCAATGTGGTGCAATTCTGGCGATCTAATCTGGATCATATACAAACTTGTCCAATCATTTCTATGGATCTCCATAATCTCAAATGAAAGTAAGTGGAACACTGGCGAGAAATAAGAATTTATTATTTAAGATTGTCTATTTTTATTTTATTTTTTTAACAAATTTGTTAGCAGTGGAAGAATACTTTTTTTTTTTTTTAGGCATCCAAGAGTAGATGAATCAACTTACCATAAACTATTATGGTCTAGCTAAATCATTAAAGAAACAACAACAACAACCCAGTCCTTTCACAAACCAGGAGTGAAACGAATGGCAATGAATGATATTGGGAATTTCTTTTTCTACAGGGTGGAGTATGCCATCATCAAGAGGTGTATTTTGGAACTGAACTAAAGTGAGCTGGTGTTAGTTGGTGTGTTACTTCAGCAGGTGCAACTACTACTGTGGTAATGGTGGTTTTAAAGAGACCTGTCTTCGCCTAGTGGGTCGTTGAAGAGATACCATGTGTTCTTGAAGACACTTTGAGATTTTATGTGTAGGGATACTAGGATGTACACTATTCAGCCACAACATTAAAACCACCTGCTTAATATCACGCAGATCCCCCTTGTGGACTCCACAACACCACTCAACGTGTCCTGTGGTATCTGGCAAAGAGATATTAGCAGCAGATCCTTTAAGTTCTATAGGGGGGCATCCATGGATCGGATTTGTTGTTCAAGCACATTCCACGTATTCCCAAAAGGATTGATATCTGGAGAACTTGGAGGCCAAGGTAATACCTTAAACTCTGTCATGTTCCTCAAACCATTCCTGAACAACCTTTGCAGTGTG